TTTAATCTAGCTGGAGTAAATAACATCAATCACATTGTTCATATAATCATTATTGGCCTGGGTCTTTCTTTGATTGATTTTTAAATATTGGTTTCTATGCTGAAGGCAGCAGAGAGTATTAAGAATAATACTAATTTAAAAAACGGACTTTTTTGTTCTCAGCCTGATTTATTTCATGATAAATTCACTGTCACCCCAAACTCCCACCCCTTCCTTCAGGTCCTTGACTACATAGAATATATTTCTTCCTGATAGGGCAGAAGAGAGACATAGAATAGAGTATGGGCTCTGAGGCAACCACCAGGATTGGGAGCCCCCTTTCTAGCTGTGTGATCTTGGGGACCTTTAGGATTCCAATCTATAGAGTGATAACCAAGTGAAACATATACCTTCCTGGTATGTTGTAAGGACTCAATGAGCAAATACATACATAGTTCTTTGAAGAATAACTGCATCATAGTGATGCCCCAAAATGTTAGTGTTTATAACTGCACCCTCATTTCCATCTCAAAGTGTCTAGTGCACACTTAGCAAGCTCTAACCCACCCTTCAAATTTTAGCTGACAAGTTTCCTCTTCTAAGAAAATCAATGACAAGAAAAAAAGTGACTGCTGATATTCTACACCCCCTGCCAAATGCCTTAGCACTTTAAAAACAGACTTTTTGTCCAGGTGGTCAACTTTTACCATAATGAAACAACAAATTAGAGACCTGAATGCTATTTTACCATCATATTTCATAGACAATAAACATGAGGCCTACCTATTTATTTATTCATTTATTGATTCAATGTACTTGCACTGAAATCCTGCTTGTGTCAGGAATTGGGTGAGAGGGGCATGTCAGAGAGCAAGAAAGACCAAGTTCCTGCCCTCCTTAAGTCCACATTAGTGAGGGTAAAGCACATAAGGAACACATGCTATAAAAAATAAAGTAAGTTGAGAGTGGCAGATTTATGTAGGCTGGACAGGGAAGGGCCATATAAGAAGGAGAAATTTGACCTTGCCTGAAGTGAGAAGATAGCTAGGCAAATGTTGGGGGAAGAGTATTCCAGGCTGAAAGAACAGCAGGTGCAAAGGGCCTGAGGCAGGAGCATGTGTGCTTCCTTGAGGATCAGCAAGAAGACCAACATGGCTGGAGCAGAAGAGGTGGGGGAGAAGGTAGCAGAAGATGAGCTAATGAGTAGATGACAGATCATGACTGTAGGACCTGGTAGATGAGTGTCTTGGATTTATTTTGAAATGTGATAGGAAGCATTGAAGCAAAAATACAAATAAAAAATCATATGATTTGACAGAGTTAATGATGGTTACTACATGAAAAACAGACGAGTAAAGCAGAATGAAAGAGAAAATACAATTGGAGAATTTGTGGTGGATTAGACTAAGGTTGCATGTAGAAATAGTGAGAAGGAGTAGGGTTCTGGAGGTATGTTGAAGATAGAACTGACGGAATTGTCTAATAGCATTGGAAGTGCTATTAGAGTAAAAGAAAATGAGAGAGAAATTAAGGATGGTCCCTGGGCAACTGGGTAAAAATGATGGTATTATAAGTCTAAGGGAATAATAATAATAATAAAGCATAGCTTCGGACATGATAAATTAGAGATACCTAGTAGATATCTAAGTGACAGTGTTGATAGGCAGATGGCTTATGAATTTGGGGCTCAGTAGAGACTTTAGAAATACGATACAAATTTGAGAGTTGTCAGCAAATATAAGTTCTTGGCACTGGGTGTGAACACAGATGGAGAAGAGGAGTTCTAAGAACTGAATTGTGTGCCATTTAATACCGTGTTTCCCCCAAAATAAGACATCCTCCAAAAATAAGACCTACTTACAGGTTTCCTTCTGAGTGAAATATAAGGCATCCCCCGGAAAACAAGGCCCGCCCTATGCTCTGTCTCAGAATGCTATTGCTAAACATGAGAGATTTGGTCCACTGATTCTGAAAGAAATGGAGTCACAAGAAATTCACCAGGAAATTCAGGAATTGGGTTGTTATGATGATGTTCCAGAAGATGATGACATGATTGTCATTGAATAAATGAGTAAATTCTTGATACTGTAAGATTCACAGTTTGTCTGGTTTGTGTCGACAACTACCGTACTACCGTACTGTATACAGATAATAAATTTCCTTTATTTTCATTTAATAAATGTGTACAGTATTCTTCTTCATGGAAAAATAAGACATCCCCTGAAAATAAGACCTAGTGCATCTTTGGGAGCAAAAATTAATATAAGACACTATCTTATTTTCGGGGAAACAGGGTAGTAAAAAGTTTGGGGGGGGGGGCGGGAATAGAAAATCTAACTAAGGAGACCAAGAAGAATCAGTCAGCAATAGAAGAGGGCACAGAGGAGAGTGAGAATGAGGATAGGTTTGAAAAATATTAGTATGAAATCAGCCTTTTCTCTCACCTCTCATAAATCAACAAGAAGAATGAACAGAAAGCTGTAAACCACATCTTTAATAGAACCACTAGAGACAGCCATAACCATAAAATAGGTCAAAGGATGCCTAAAGCAGTGGAGTATTGAACAGGGCTGTGGGAGAAAGCAGGAAGGTGAAATGAAGGGCTGGGTAGCTCAGAAAGAACAATCAAAGTGTTTGATGTAGGGAGCTATGCTCCAACTAACTGAGCCATACTAGCCAGGTAGTTATATTTTTTACTAGAGGCTCAGTGCATGAATTCATGCATGGGTGGGTTCTCCAATTGGGGCTAATGGAGACAAGCCAGACACGGGGAGGGACCACAGGAGGTTGGCCAGCTGTGGGAGATTGACTATGGGAGTGCACTGACCACCAGGGGCAACTCCTATATTGAGCATCTGCCCCCGATGGTCAGTGCATCATTATAGTGACTGGTCAACCAGTCATTCAGTCGACCAGTCGTAACAGTCAGTCGCTTATTTTATATATATATAGTTTAGTCTGTGTATTATTCAATGTGGCCAGAACCTGAGAAGTGGAATGTTGATAGTAGCAATAGGCGATGATGGGCAAATGACAGAATTAATTTATGCTTTCTTTATATCTCAAACCTGCATGGACCTCCAGAAAGAGGGTAAGTACAGCCAATAAGCAATGCGATTCATTTTTAATATTGTTAAAATATTCAAAAATCAAACTCAGTCATAATTTTCTAAAATCATTTACCATGATCTTTTTATTTGATCCTTAAAAAGAACCTTCATATGTTCCAATGAAATCTGAGAAAACTAAACCCCTTCAGCATTATGGTAAACTGAAAGTCACGAGAGGTGCTATGTAGGCATTAAGAGCATCGAGTCAAATTTCCTTCATAACAGCTTACAAATGCCCAGTATCACTAGTTATAATATAAATACAAATTAATGCAAAAGCACAATGAAGTACCAACACACACCTGTTAAAAGGAAATATCCTTTGTGACAACACAGACAAATCTTGAGAGTATCATGCTAAGTGAAATAAGTCAGATGAAAAAGGACAAGAATCATTTGGTTTCACTCATATATAGCATATAAAACAAAATGCAACAGACAAAGCAGAATGATAGTTAGCAGTGGGAAAGGGAGGTGGGGGAGAATAAAAAGGGTAATGGGGATTAATTATATGGTGATGTAGGAGTCTAGGTGGTGAACACACAATGCAGTATACAGACGTATTATAAAGTACACCTGTCATTTATATAAAGTTATTAACTAATGTTACCCACTACATTTAATTTAAAAAGCAGCTTCAAAAGTTTTAATTAGCTATACTTAAACCTAAAACAATTCTTTTTAATTGAAGAAAGCAGATATTCATAAACTCGGTTTCAATAATTATAAACAGGAAAAAATACTGTATAAATGGGAAGAGCTTATTTCTCATTTTGAATGAATCACATCTGTATCAATATATCAGTAAAATTCTATGAGATTTATACTTGAAAACATCTACCAAGTTTCTCAGCAAACTTTATTACTATTGTAAAGGAAAAAATTAAACTGCTGCTGTACCATAGTCCCTGATCTCCCACTATAATGCCACTTTTTCAAAAACACAATAAAGATACAGTCCCATGGATTTTTTTTATTTCTTTGTGGGTTACATAGGAGGCCTGCATTTTTATTTTATGCTTTAGACAATTTAATGTGAATCATACAGAAGGTAGTCTTTTTCCCCATAAGATGACTATGAGTTTTGCTGATCAATATTTATATTGCTTCTGTTGCCAATAAAATCTGTACTCACTTGGGCAGAGTATTAAAGAGATCTCTCAGCTTCTTTCTATACTTGGTTTTAGAATGCAGAAAATGCCCAGGGAACTTGCGTAGCTTTTCTCTTATAGGAAAATGGGGTTTTTAAATGATTATTACAGAAATAATACATGCTTATTATAAAAATAATCAAATATAAGAGAATGGTATGAAATAAACACAGTCTGTTCTCCCTATATCTACTCTCAAGTCCACTGGAATTAATTACTGTCCAGACATTTGTATAAATTACCAAAATATAAACATGTTTGCATACATTTTATGATTTGCATTTTTCATTTTATACATCCTCAACTTTTTAAAAGTCAACCTTATATTTACAACAGTCTTTTAATGCTTGTGTATTATTTTGTTGAATAGCAGTACTATCACTTATTTAATCAAGTGCTGATAATAAACACCTATATGTTTTCCAGTTGAGTATTAGTAATACAAACATTCCAGTAGGGTCTATTTTTTCAATTTTTACAAATTACATTTCATTGTGCTGAACAAGTACAGAAGGGAACACAAACACTTTAATGTGTATAATTTTTTGACTATGGAAAATTCTGATTTAATTTTGTTTTCATTTTCTATGTTTATTTACTTATTAGAGGGGTTCATTTTCCTCTCTCATTCAGCTCTATTGAGATATCATTGACAATATTGCATAAAGTTTAGGGTGAATAATGATTTGATACATGTGTATACTGAGAAATGATTACCACAAAGTAAATACCTTCATCACCTCACATAACATTTAACTCTAAAAATATGGAACAGTTTACGAATTTGCATGTTATCCTTACTCTGTGTCACTATGCTAACCTTCTCTGTATCACTCCAATTTTAGTATATGTGCTGCCATACCAAGGACTGTCAAATACTTATTGAGAATCTATTATGTATCAATTTATTACATCGGGCCAAACATATGGTGATGGAAGGAGACTAGACTTCAGGTAGTGAGCACACAATGCAGTATACAGATGCTATATTATAAAGTTGTGCAGCTGAAATTTACATAAGTGAAGTCTTGCAGTATAATATTTTTCTATGTCTGATTTCTGATCTCTAGGTCCATCTACATTTTTGCAAATGGCAGGATTTGTTTCTTTCTTAAGGCTGAATCATGTAGCAATGAACATGGGAATGTAGATATCTCTTTGAGATCCTGTTTTCATTTATTTGTATTATCTACTTACAAGTGGACTGCTGGACCACATGGTTGTTTTATTTTTAATTTTTTGAGGAATCTCCATACCTTTTTCTGTAATGACCAGCCCGATTTACATTGAAAAAACAAACAAAAATACACACACACACAACAACAACAACAGAGTACACCAAGGTTCTGTTTTATCCATGTCCTTGCCAACACTTGTTATCTCTTGTCTTTTTTACAATAGCCATATAGCCATCCTAAAGGTATGAGATCATATCTCATTGTGGTTAGAATTTGCATCTTCTCAAATAGCCAACTCTTATTTTGATAATCTTTTCTATTTTTTCCTAGTCTCCATTTTATTTATTTTTGCTCTACTTTTCATTATTTTCTTTCTTCTCTTCACTTTGTTCTTCTTTTCTAATTTCTTGAGTTATAAAGGTGGGCTTTTCACTTGAGATTTTTCTATTTTTTTTTTTTTTAAATATAGGCATGTATCACTATAACAGTCTTTCAACACTGCTTTTGCTGCTTCCCATACGTTTTGGTATGTTGCATTTCCATTTCAGTCTCAAGACAGTTTTTACTTCCCTTTTGACTTCTTCTTTAAACCATTGGTTGTTCAGGAGCATGTTTAATATCTGCATATTTGTGAATTTTCCAAACTTCCTCTAGTTATTGTTTTCTAAGTTCATATTACAATGGTTGGGAAAAAATAGTTGCTGTTATTTCAGTCTTTGTAAAAATTTGTTAAGACTTATTTTGTGACCTAGCATATGATCTATCCTGGGGAATGTTACATGTATATTGGGTAAGAACATGTGTGCTGCTGGTGTCGGAGGGAATGCTCTCTGTTTATTAGGTCCATTTGGTCTATAATGTTGTTCAAGTCTGCTGTTTCCTTACTGATTTTCTGTTCAGATGATCTATCCATTGTTGATAGTTCCCATTATTATTGCAATGTTATCTATTTTTCTTTTCAGTTCTGATAAAGTTTGCTTGATATATTTGGGTGCTCCAATACTGGATGCATAGATATTTATGATTATTATATTTTGATTGATATTCGGTGTGCTCTGTACATAGCCCCCTCAAAGAACTTACAATCTAGGGTCATTGTTATTTATTTTCATGATCCTCTTACCCCTAAACCAATAGTTCTTAATTTGGGGGCAGAGGGAGGAGTTAGTTAGATATAATAAAGGATCTCAACTCTCTCTATTCTCTCTGCCTTTTAGGATACATCCACTAAGTTTTAGGAAGTTCACCCAAAACTCTGAAACACACTTTTTTTTTAAATTATCATTGGAGGATATTTTTTCCATTGATTTTTAGAAGAGTGGGAAGGGGAGGAAGAGACAAAAAGAAACAGATGTGAGAGAGGCGCATAGATTGGTTGTCTCCTGCATGCCCTGGACCAGGGCTGGGAGCCTGCAACAGAGGTACGTGCCCTTGCCTGGAATCAAACCCAGGGTCCTTCAGTCCACAGGCTGGCACTCTATCCATTGAACCAAATCAGCTAGGGCTGAAATACACTTTTTATCTTAATTTAACCACATCTAAACTAAACCATAAACTTTAAAAGGCAAAAGTAGAAGTTGTTTTTTTTTACACTTTGCTAACTCTAAACATCTAGGTACTGTTCATCAAATAAATATTAATTTACAAGCAAAAGAATTTGCCAAGTCATTTGCTAGTTTCCAATGACCAACATAATTTAATTTCATGCATGGTTTTTGAACTTCTGGTAGTTTCCCAATGCTGTTTAAGTCCATCCCAGGCTCCACTCATTTCCTCCAAAATAAATTATAAAAAATTAAATTAAATTAGAGGTAAGATTTCCTACTGTTTCCCATTAATAATTAATAATATTAATAAATAATACTCATAATCAGATTTAGAATGTGCTCTTTAGAATCTTAAATAAGAATCACAGAACAGTCTGGCCAGCATGCTCAGTGGTTGAGCGTTGGCCTGTAAATCAGGAGGTCACAGTTCGATTCCTGGTCAGGGCACATATTGGGTTTGCATGCTGGACCTCCAGTGTGGGATGTGCAGGAGGCAGCTGATCAGTAATTCTCTCTCATCATTCTCTCTCTCTCTCTCTCTCTCTCTCTCTCTCTCTCTCTCTCTCTCTCTCTCTCTCTTCCTTTCTCTCTGAAACCAATAAAAATATATTTTTTAAAAAGAATTACAGAACAAACTAATAGAAGGTAGAGATCTGTAAAAGCGAATTAAGTAAATATTTAAAGTGTTTAAAATTTCTGAAAATTTCAAAGAGCAAAAAACTTACTCCTTAATTGCTATTGTGACTAATTATAAATCAAACCTTTAAAATCATGTTAAAGCTTCTGTTCTTAATCCCCATCATAAAAACAAAAGACTGGTTTTATTTAAGATCTTAAATATTTGCCACATGATAACAAACTAATTCAACTCAGGAAATAGGTCCCTGTGGTTGAAACTACATATTTTAAAAACTTAAATGTTTGAGACTCTTCTTGTATTCCTCATTCTGAAGAGTTAATCAGTTGGTAAAAGAAAACTATTGACAAAAGAAAATTAAAAGTACCCCAGACTTATCCAGGAGCCATATTTTATCGCCAGCAACATAAACTTCTTCGAAGGCTCAGTTTGTCACTAATGTTTATGCAACAAAACAATAATATTTACTCATTAATTACAAAATAAAAAATAAAATGCTCTGTAACTGCAATAACCTGCCCCAAAGGTAATCATCAAAGTTTCCATTAACTAATTTCCAGCTACTATGGGCTTTGAACCAAACTGAATATTCATTTCACTGCACTCTCCTTGCAAGAGAGAGATGCTATACTGGTAAACACGGCTCTCTCCCGAGCTGTGTCAATATAAAAATGAATGGGGAGAGGAGATTTATTTTAGTGTTCACTTTTTAAGCAATTTCTAACTATTTAACAAATATTTATTTTGAACATTTACCATGTACGAGATGATTTACTACGTATGGGAGAGGACTAGATAACAAAAGACCTGTTTGCTAACCTCAGCAGTCTTATGATTGAGAACTCCGTCTTGACCAAGACGGGCTAACAGAAGGTGGATTCACTTTCTTGCCTGAAACACCAATAGACCAACATAAATATGAAGCATTGGGTTTTTGGAAAGGGGCCATAAGGCAATGAGGACAGCTCAGAATTAAAGAACAAACTATTCTGCTTTGGAGAAGACATCATTAAGAAGATTAGTAGGCAGGTCCCTGGCAGGAAGAAAATATTTGCAAAGCACATCCTTGATAAACGATTTGTACCCAAAATATATAAAGAACATTCAAAATTTAGTAATAATAAATCAAACAGCCCAATTTAATAAGTGGGAACAATTTGAATAGACATTTTACTAAAGAAGACATATGAATGGAAAAAATAAACAGGGTAGAAGTTATTCAACTTCGTTCATTTGGGAGATATGCAAATTTAGACCACGATGAAATTTTATTATGATGTGCTAGAATGACTGAGATTAAAGGCTGACCACAGTAAATTTTGGTAAGGATATGGCAGAAATGTACAAAACATAAAATCAGCTTGGAAAACAGTATAACAGTTTCTTAGAAATTAAATATACAACTACCATATGGTCTAGACTTTGCATTCCTAGGAATTTACCCCCAAGAAAGGAAAGCATGTATCTATACAAAGACTTATACATAAAAATTCATAGCAGCTTTATTTATAATAGCCTAAACTAGAAACATTCCACATATCCCTCAACACTTGAACATATAAACAAACAGCGGCATATCCAGAAAATGCAGTACCACTCAGAAGTAAATAAAAAAGGGTAAGCTATTGGTAGATATAAAAACATGGATGAATCTCCAACTAATCAGGGGAAAATCTGAGGGAAAAAGCCAGGATAAAGAGTGCATTCAGTATTATTGCATTTTTACAAAATTCTGGAAAATTCAAACTAATCTGTTGTGATAGCCACTTTCTGATTGCCTAAGAAAGAAAGAGTAGGAGGCACCCTTTATAGCGGGCACAGGAAATGTTTGGGGGGAATGAATAGCTCATGATCTTCATTCTTGTGTTTTCATGTTATTATAATATGTCAAAATGTATACTTTAAATGCCAATGTGTCAATTACACTTCAATAAAAACAGTTTAAAAACATTTTTAAGGACCTAGCTGGTTTGGCTCAGTGGACAGAGCGTTGGCCGGTGGACTGAAGGATTCCAGGCTCGATTCTGACCAAGGGCACAAGCCTGGGTTGCAGGTTTAATCCTCAGTGGGGAACGTGCTGGAGGCAGCCAATCAATGATTCTCTCTCATCGTTGATGTTTCTCTCTCTCTCCCTCTCCTTTCCTCTCTGAAATCAATAAAGAAATATATATATTTTAAAAAAATATTTTTAAGAAGGGCACACACACACACAAAAGAAGGTTATGATTTTGCAGGCACAATCAACATGTAAGCATGGAAGTCTGAGCCCCAGCAGAGTTATTGGGAAACAAAATACACAGAAGAGACAAAGGATAATTGTAGCTAAGCACTCAAGCAATTAGGAAACATTTGAGATGGCTTTAAGGGAAGGGGAGACATGGGGAGAGGGAAGAACATTGTAACTGGAAAATTACATGTTAATAAACCATATTCCAAAGAGCAGAGACAGCAATATGCAGATGGAATTTTGGAAACTAAAAGTTTTGCATGTGTCTAGAACACACTGT